TCTCTTTGGATTTGAGACTTTAGTCTTTGCAACTTTACAGATCTTCTTTATGCACCAAGAGCTTGTAACACTCCAAAGAGAAAGGAACACTTGAAATCGCATCATATGACCCCTTTAATGCGTAATGACCTGTACAGAGCCCTGAAATTAGTTTAATGCAGCATTTATTAAAATTCAATAATTCAATTCAAATTATAATATTAAGCCAGGGTTAAGCGTAGAGTGATAACATAAATCATACATTCGCGGGTTTGTTTCATCTTCATTTACTGCGCGAAATTAACTTAAATGATTTTAGCAAATGGCTGCAATATAACAAAGAGTGAAAAATTTAAGGGGGTCTGAATACTTTCCGTACCCACTGTATATATATGAATAAATGTCATATTTTATGAACCATACATTGTGTTGAAGTCATTTTTATTTGGTGCTGAAGAAATGTACATCTGGGTACTCTGTAATCTTACATATTAATGGAAAGATTTAATCTTATTTAATCTTACATATGATGGTTGATGTGCTCAGATTATTAGCCTACTTAAACAATACATAAAAACAAGATGTATTTTTTATAATACTGATTAGGCGTCCATACAGATAATTTCCATGCTGCTTATACTTTAGTAGGTCACGAGTGTGCTGGATGATTACTGAACAGCGGGGTGATCATACGGAGTAAAGAGGTTAGGGCAACGTTATAATAACGTCATGGCAACGTTAGATTAACGTTAAAATAACGTTATGGGAACCAAAAACTAACGTTCCGGGAACATTCTGGGAACCAAAAATTGTTAGCTGGGTTTAAAGTAAGTTTCTGCACCCCTATTTCTTTAAGATTATTTTCCATTGTCTTGTATTTCCTACACTGGCTACATTTAACGTTACATGCACAATTTTTTGTTCAATCGGACTGAATTCATTCCGTGTTTAGTGTTTACATGAAGGCTAAAGAAAGTGATCGGGTTGATGTGCGTGTTTATATGACACAAATCGGAATTGATTTTTTTTTTTTACATGCGCACACTGCACAAATATAGAGTTTCTCACTGTTTGCACATAATAACCACTCTCCTACACGGTTTATTTATTTATTTTTAACAGCAGAATTAATATTTATTAATTTATGGATAAATTACGCTGTGCCGTGCTGCTCATATTTATCACAGTAAAAATGCCCCTCCCCGCGCCCAAAACGGGTTGCCTGTGGATGAGAATCCAAAACAAGGACTGGTGGGAGGTTGTCCTGCTCCACTTCACAGTTGCCGAGTGAAAGGAGAGTTTTATAATGACAGGACACGCATGTATACAGCACTTTATTCAAAAGGAAGAACCGCTCGTTCTGCGCGTCATACGTCAATACGCTATTTCTGCGTCATTGCACATGCGCAGTTCTTTCAGTTTCGGAGTTGAGTCCGATCGAGTGTTTACATGCACTCTCAATCGTATTAGAAAAGGAATAAACCACCCCCTTCGAAATCGAAATTTCATTCCGATCGAGCTCAGTCGGATCGATTAAGGTGTTAACATCCTTCCATCCGATTACAAATGGATTATTTGGTTGCATGTAAACGTAGCCTCTGTAGAATTACATGCTCCACTGATTGTTCTTCCTGACATTCGTCACACAGACCAGACTGGTGTTTCTCTACCATTTTTAAAGTCTTATTTAGAGCACAATGCCCCAGCCTTAACCTAGTCAACACAATTTCCTCTCTCCTGTTCCCAATTCCTACCCTCTTTGCTTTGATTTTTACTCTTGAATTTGGTATAGATCCCTTTCCCCTCTTTATTCCACATTTCTTGCCACATTTGGTTTATTTTTTCCCCAGATTATGCTTTTCACTTCTGCTTTACTGATTCTTATTTGCATTTCTATGTTTCTCTTCATCAATTCCCTTTTTGCACCTTATCTACTTTTTCATTCCCCTCCACTCTGTATGCGCTGGAACCCATAAACATTTTACTTGGCCTCCCTGATTTGTTATTCTTGAAAATGAGTTAAGGGTCTCATATAGTATATCTTGTCAAATAGCTACAATGGGAGGCCATATCTGGTTATTAGGGAAGACGTGTCCCATAATGCAGTTGCAGTGTTGCCATGTTTTGAGTTTTTTTTTTTTTTTTACAACGACCATGGTCTGAAAAAACAAGACCAAAATAAACAACCCGGTCAGAAAAATAAGCGACCCCTTTTGGGTGGTGGGGCATATGCACAGCATGCAAGTCTGCATAAGGTACGCCTTTAAAAGGGATTTTGTTCCGCCAAAACATTGAACTTATTTCGTAAACCATTATACTCCCATTCACAAAATACCCCATGTTATTCAATTGCCAAAATGACCATACACAACTGTATTTTGGAAATAAGCCCAAAATAAATGGACTTGGCAACTATGGTAGTTACGTAAAGTTGCGTAAAGCACCGCCTCCAAACACGCAGGTGTGTTCATTTCCAAACACTGATAAGCACGTGGAACAGAACTGGTAATTGTAGACGTACAGCGAGTGTGGAAGCTTAACGCAGTATTTCACAAAATACTGAAATACTAGCATATTTAAATGGATGATTCTGAACATCCCGTAAGTACATGAAGCAATAACACTGTGAATGGGGTGCACATTTTTGGTAAGGAAAGCCAATGCCACGCATATTGCCTGTTATACGTTTACGCATTCACACTTAATATTTTCGGTAGAACTTTACAATAAGGTCTTCTTAGTTAGCGTTGGTTAATGCATTTACTAACAATAACTAAAAGAAAAAAGCACAATACATCTGTTACCGTATTAATCTTTGTTATCGTTAGTTGATTAAAAATTTGGTGCTATAGTTCATGTTTGCTCAGATCCATTAAATAACATTAACATATACAACTTATATTTAATGACGTGTTAATGTTGTAACTAATTTGTTGATGATGAAATTAACTAGGTTTAATATATCCTTCAAACGTGTAGTTTGTTAAATGTAGTTAACTGATGTTACTTAAGTTTAAAGTGTCTTTTTTTTTTCTTTGTATGCAATTTAAGAAATACAATCCTGGTATTGGTTTTCAGCTTTATAGCTGACAAAAAAATTAGGTGTTCATGTGACGTTTCAGGTGCAAATTTATGTATTTCTAAGAGTGTATGTTTGTATGTGACGGGTTACAATTTGTTTTTACCCTTTGTCATCATTATAATTGTAATCTGTAGCCTTTGTGCAGTTTACTTAAATGCTCTATTTGTACTTAAATTTTATTTCTACATTACAAAACCAAATGTAATCATTAAATACTACAATATTATATGCACAGTAACTAAATAAGTGTAATAAGATAAATGTGGATTATTTTAATACTGATATTTAAATGTTTTAATATTTGTATGTTAAACAGTTTAATATATATCTTATAAGCGGTTTCTGGAGAATAGTAGGTCATGCTGTGTTAACACTGACTTTTTTGTTTTGTTATACATTTTATTTTGCTCTGTGTTTTCAGGAGAAAACCGGGGAATCTGTTCCTGATGCCAGTTGGCCAGAGAATGGGGATCAGTGGAGCGACAAAGGAGAAGAGGAGGAGGATGATGAATGTGGACTACTGCAGGAAATGGCTGAAGAGGATGAGGAGATTGATCTCTACAATGAGGAGACATTTGGCTTAGGTATTATATTATAAAATCCATGAGCTTACTGGAATTGGATGTCATGCACAAACTGTGACTGGATTGGAATCCAATATATAACGCATTTAAAATTGAGCTAAATAGCTGAAGCAGAAAGTTTCCTGTGTATTTCTTTTTTTCTGGGATGGGTATGGGAGATGAAAATGTGTTGTTAGATGGATTTTAATCCTTGAAGCATTTTCACTGCGGGTTTTTTTTTTAACTAACTCTTTATGCAAAAAAAATTTAACCCAGATGAAGCCACAAGTGGTGATAATCCAGCTGCTGACCCTATGGATCTCCTGCTGCTGTGTAGCGACAACTCCCCAACACCACAGTCTTCACCACCTCCACCTCCCATATCACCTTCCCCTCACAGTTCCCATTCACCCTCCAGACCGGGATCTCGCGTTTGGCCCCGCACTCCAACAGGCCGGTCTCAGAGAGGGAGAGCAGGTCGAGGGCAGCTGTTTGATGACCCAGCTGTGGTGAAGACTGTGGAAGGTCGACCGAGCCTAAAGGTTTACGTGCCTGATGTTTATTTCAGAAAAGTTGGTGGGAAATTAAATTAAATATTAACCAGCATTTTTGCACTGGGGTTTTTTTTTTTTCTCTCTCTAGAGTCTTGATAGTGCCATTGTGGATTGCAGCCTCAGCTCCTACTGGGAGGACCTCAATTCAAATACAGTGTGTAATCTTCAGTATTTAGCAATATCTAGCTTTTTTTGGTTTGACCTGGGATGTAATGTTTGCCACTGTTTTTCTCACAGTGGATGATAGCACCTCAAAAGTCCAGTAGGCCACCTGCGGCATCTATACTTCAGGTGCTCAAGCAAATCTCAGATGTGTATCTTGCAGCTATGCAATACAACTGTTGATCACTTTGATCTTTTTGCCAATTAGGACCAGGCAATCGTGGGAGTCATTGATAGATCAAGACATAGCAGGGTTCCACCTGTGTCTCCAAACTTTCTATCTCCTATGAGACCTTTTTCCACAAGCCGGGGCAGGAGAGGACCTCCTTTTGTTGGGTCCTTCAACCAGAGATGTCATTATCAGGTAGTGGGGTTTCTAATATATGGAGACTGTAAACATTTTACATTCTGTAAATATGTGGTGTTGGTCTATGCAAAGCTAGCTGTGTTTAAACACTAGAGTGTTAAATGTATCCATTCTTTCTTGATTGGGCACAAAAGAATCCCATGGTTCCTTGCTCTCCCTTTCGTCCCCAAAGACTCTTTTCACCCCAGCAACAATACAACCAGGTGACCCCCTTGTTAATACTACAACTGCTAATTTAGAAGGTTCTGTTCCTGAAAAAAGCCTTTTTGTTCCAGTGGCTTATGTTTGTTTTTGTTTTTTTTGTTATTTTTCCAGCCTGGAGGTTTTCTTTCACCTTCCCGTCCTCCTCTCTCTACACCAATGCCCCACACACCCAAACTCATGCATCTGCAGTTTGGGACCGACTCCCCCAGGCCTGCTCCATTCTATAGCCCATCCACCAACATAATGCAGGGCTTCAGGTTAGTGATCTACTTCATAAAGGAATAAGATTTACTATGCATGTTCCCCTTGTTACAAACCCTTCTATGAAACAAAGTGGGGGTTTTTTTTATAATCTCATAAAATAGACTTTACTAGTTACTGTTTGGTCTGTTCCGACAATAGTTTTCTTTTGTCAACTTTTAGAGCACCAGGTCCTGTTGCCCAGTTCCATCCCCAGCATAAGAGGCTTTTGAGTCAACGACAGCAGAGACCTCACAAGTGAGGGCAAAGAGCATTGCTTTTTTTTCCCCACTTGGAAATCTAAGGTTTATTTATCTGAATTTAGATGATGTAATTCACAGAAAGCCAGTGAGCTGGGACCCATATTCCCAAATCATGACCGATAAAGAGAAGGAATGGATAATCAGGTTGCAGATGATTCAGCTACAGAGTAAAAATCCACATCTGGATGACTACTATTACCAGGTCTGTATCAGTCCTGAACTGCTTAGCCATCCTTAGAAAGGTTTAACTGCTTTTTTTTTTTTTTTTTTTTCACAACATGATCCCAGTGGCTGTGTTTGCTTTAAATAGTACATTTTTATTTTTTTAATGTTTAAATGTATTTGATTTTTACAACTGTTTGAAAGATAAGACAAAGAGAAACTGTTGGATGTCAAGCGTAGTTAATCTCTGCAGGAGTACTATCAGAGGATAGAAGCCAAACTTGCTGAAGAGGAGTTTTTGGGTGACCGGTTAAAGAAGGAACCACCTAAACTCACAACCCCTTATGTTACCAAAGCACTCTCGTATATCCCAGGTGTGGTGCATTGAGCTAATTTAATACCCATTTTATAAAGTGACAGTATTAATAGTTGGCAATAATTCTTGCATTACTTCAGTTGTCCACATTGAAGGTTCGCTTGGGCAGGTTGCAGTGTCAACTTGTTTCTCTCCTAGACGAGCAATTGATGCTGTTCATGCAAACACATCTGATGAGGTGAGACTTTATTTCTTTGAGGCTGCAATAATTTGTGAACATTTTGGACTTAAAAAAAAAAAAAGAGACTTTTTTTTTTTTTTTTTGTGGCAGGAGCACAAAGACACTAGACAGCAAAGGTTGGAGGTGTTGAGCACTATTGAGAAGGTAGGGTAAACACTTTTTTTATTTATTTTTTTTATTTTATTTTTTTATATTTGAGTCCAGTCCAGTTTAGTGTTTTTTTTTTTTATTTTATCCTAAAGTTATTTTTGGATTGGGCTATACATTTGCACTCTTATGATGTCCTAACTAGAAATATTGTCATGCCAACCAACTTCCTTTCATTCCTTTACTGTAAGATGTCTGCAACCAAGAAGCACCTGAAAATGCCCTAGCACCAGGGCTGCAACTTTGCTGAAATCAAATAAAATATTTTACCACTCAATGAATGCTGATTTGAATTAGAATTAAGTATTCAGGATAGCCGCATATTTTGTGTTATTTTATTTGTTTCTGCAAACTCAAGGTTGCTTTACAGTGTATCAAGTAAACACGACAGCAGGCAGAGAATCAATACAGATACACGGAGCGTAGACAAAATGCATCACGTGAAACCGATTATAGTTAGGGATCAGAGAAACAAGAAAAAGATGGGTTAATGTGGGTTTTGAAATTGTAATAATAATAGAATTCCATAGTGTGGGGGCAGAGATACAAAAAGCCCTTCCACCAAATGGTGTTAGTTTTTTGCCATGAGACCAGCAACAGCCCAGAATCAGAGGAGTGCAAGTGTGCAAACTGGGGTGTTTTTTTATTTTTTATTATTGAAAGTGTAATTTGATCAATTACAAATCAAATACCATTACGTACAAAGTGTCTGTGTAATGAGTTCTTGTATTAATTTGCCAGGATTGTTTTATGGAGGCAGGGTGTCCGCGGGTCCTTAAAAAGTCTTAATGTCTTAAATAACGTTTTCCTAATATAAGGCCTTAAAAAGTCTTAAAATGT